AGGAATAGGAGAGAAGGGTTTCTCTTGTAGAAAGTTCACTGGTTATATATAGTTTGTGATCTCAGGTGTTTCTAAATAGGGGAAACAGATGTTGAGTGGTGATCAGCACTGTGAAGAAAATGAAGCAGAGAAGGGATAAAGAGGTTCAGAAGTTGGTCTTAAATGAGGTATTCAAGGAAGCCCTCTAATATTTAAACACTTGAGGCTTAAAGGAAATGAAGACAAAACCATGTGACTGAGAGAAAAGTGTTAAAAAGTAGCTGCAAAAACTCTCAGATGGAAACATTACTCAGCATTTCAACAATGGTGACTGGAGCAGAATGTTGGAGAGAGGGCAAGGATGGTTATAAAGATAGACAGCTGACAAGCTCTGTAGATCCTTGTGGGCTCAGAACTGACTTTGCACTTTGCCCTGAATGAGAACAGGAAGTCACTGAAAGCTTCTCAGGTGAAGAATAGTATGTGCTTACCTAAAGGTTCACCTGGTTTCTCTGAAGGTGACAGGTAAGACCCTCAGGAGACCCTCAGGCTGGTGCGCAGGCTTTGGATTTGCCCAGGCGAGAGGAGCTATGGCACTGTCTAGATAATGACAGCAAATGTGCCGTGCATGGGGCAGACTGCGTACATTTTGAAAGTAGGACCAAAGGGAATTGTTGAAACATTGAATAGAAAGTGAGAGTGAAAGAAATAGCTGAGCATTATTTTTCACATAGGAAAGAAATAAATAAAATAAAGGAAATTGCCTTTACTTGCAGAGAATTGTCAGTATATAAAGACCAATTTTATTTTTTCTGTACCACCAATTAACATCTGGAAAATGAAGTTTAAAAAAGAATTCATTACGGGCCATCCCTTGTGGTGCAGCGGGTTAAAGCACTGCACTAAGCTTCAACCACTTTCGCATGAGTTCGATTCCCGCCTGCCCCGGAGGAGATCCACATGGCGTGGCAGACCTCTCCTGGCCCACCCGCTGCTCTCCTCAGCAGTGTACTTTGTCGATCTGCCTGTTCTGCTCCCCACTCTGTCTTTGGTGAATCCTCTCACCCTTTGCATCTCTGGCCTGTACCCCAGTTCTGTATGAATAAATAAATAAATCTTTAAAAAAAAAAGTTCATTATGATAGCAATAAAACTGAAAATATTTAGTAATAAATTTAATGAAAGCGTTATAAGATCTGTAAACTGAAAGCTATGAAACATTGCTGAGGTAGATTAACAAGACCTAAATAAATACATATTACATGCTCATGGTTTGGAAAACTAAAAATTTAGGTTAGTTTGGAGAGGTCCTAGTTTTAGAATTGGTGGAGGTACTACCAAAATTCTAGCAGGTTTGTTTGAAGAAATTGACAAGTCAATTCTAAAATTTATTGACCAAAGAATTTTTAAGAAGGTTTGAGGATGTGCGCTACCTGTTATCAAAATTTACTCTAAAGCTACAGTAACCAAGATAATTTGGTATGGGTGTAGCAGTACAGAGCTGAGAAATAGATCTCCTCTTATGTGGTCTATTAAATTGGCTTTTAGGAAAAGCAACTGGATAAGCCATTTGGGAAAAGAGACCTTTTCAGCAAATGGTGCTAGAACAATTAAACATCTATGTGGAAAATAATGCTCTGACTTTACCCAGAAATCAATGAGTGATGGAGTTAAAAGTACAAAATTTCTAGAAGAAAACAGAAAAATCTGAGTGACATTGTATTGGGCAAAGAATTCTTAAACAGGTCATAAAAAGCACAAATTATTATAAAAATGACAGTTGGCTTTATCAAAATTAGACTTTTGCTTTTCAAAGGGTATTGTATAAAAAAATGAAAAGTCACGAGAAAGCATTTACAAAACTGAATCTGTCAGAGTGCTTGTGTCTATCTATATATAGTAGTTGTAAACTGAATAATGAGAAAAGCAGCACAATAAAAATGAGTAAATGATTTCAACAGACAATTCACAAAAGAAAGTATATGAATAAGACCAATATCGCTAGTCATCAGGGATATGTAAATTAAAACCCCATTATGTTACTACTTTACACTTTCTGTAATAGGTAACATTAAAATTGCTAATGATGTCAACTATTAGTGAAGATGTAAAACAAAAAGAGCCCATATGTTGATGGTGGGAATGTAATATTGTATAGCCACTTAGAAAAATAATGTAGCACATTCCTAGGAAGTTAAATGTACGATTGCCTTTATTCCCCTTTAGGTATTTACCCAAATGAAATGAGATACCCACATACAGATTTGTACTTGAATGTTCACAGTCCTATTTCTAATACTCTCAAACTAGAAATTACCCTGCAAGTAAAGAAATAGTTGTTTATCCATATTATGGAATACTGTTCAGCAATACAAAAGAATGAACTTTTGCTGTGGCAGCAGCATGGGTACATTTCAAAAGTATCATGCTAAGTGAAACAATCCAGATAAAAGCCTCCAGACAATTCTGTTTATATGAAATTCTAGAAGGTAAAACTTTATTGGTTGCTAGGGTCCCAGAATTGGGACCAGTAGTTATAAGATGACAAAATATTTTACTTGTGGCATTGGTTTAACAATCTGTACACTTAAAATTGGTGATTTTTTTTTTTTGTACTACAACCGAGCTGTTAGAAAAATGGGGTTTGTTTGCTTCATAAATACAGTCATTTTCAACAGATTTAAGCGGGTTTTTGATATTACCAATTTCAAAGTGGGTTTTACCTGAAACAATGAAGAAGCCTGCTAAGGGAATAAAGAAATGAAGTTGGCAAAGCTGCCAGTAGTTAGATGAGGTATATAGGAAAAGTTGGTCTGGTAAAGGGGTATTTGAGCAGACACAAATGAAACAAGTTCAGTTGAGTTGAGAAAAGAATTTCTTTACATGAGCCTCTCATAATTCTTACTGGATTTGGTCTAGATGTTTTATAGTTTCTGTTGCTGTTACAAATGAAATAGTTTTTCTTGTCTTACTGCATTGGCTAATAATAATTCTTAAATTAGGTTTCGTTTGTATCTTCATTTATCTTTTATCTCCTGTTTATTTATTGATTTCTTGGGACAGAAAGCATACCAACATTATGTGTTGTCACCAACAGTTCTAGCTTCTGTGCTGCTTTTCCAGTTTGTCCTCAGTGCATTCTGGTGGTTTTTACTGAGACTAAGCAGATCATTGCTGTATTTGTTAATCTTTGTTTTTCTAGCTCCCTTTACACCAAAATGTAAGTAGAATCTCAAAAAGACCTAAAGTGGAAAACCAAACTTTCAAATGCAATTTCATGTAATATAATCTTAATTTTACTGACAAATGAGTGAGTATAGGGTGCATATAAGAATATTGGCTGGCACCTTTAAATACCCCTGGTGGATGAAAGGTGGGGAAAATGAAAAGAAAATATTTTTAAAATTCGACACCAGATTGAGAGACAAAGTCTGAAGGCATTTGGTTGCCCACCATTTGGGCAAGATATACTAAGTTATTGGAATAAAAGGGGACCTTTCCATTTGAAGCCTGTTTTTAGACATATCCCCAACAGGTGGGAATGACTTGAATGCTGGCATCAACTGTCAAATGGAAACACTGCCAGTAGATGGCAGCAAAATGCTTTGTTAAAATGTTCTTACCTTCATTTTTTTAAAGTCACGTAATAAATAGGTTCTGCACATTTCCTTTTAGTTAAGACCAAGGCAGATGTGATATATGTGATATTCTTACTTTCCTTAAATAGTTAAAAAGAATGTTACATTTATGTACTGTCAGTTTATGTGAAATGTTTTTTGGCAATTGAACTGATGTTACCTTAAGAAAAGTAACTTTTTATGAATTCTGTTGGAACCCTTACTTAATTGAAATTTTCATTCTTCCCAAAGTGTTAACAATAGTTTATATAGTTTTCTACCTCACGTTTTTCTAAAATATCAACTGTCATAACATGTCTTAAAACATTTTATTAAATGATACACAAATATTTAATCACACAGCTTTATCACAGGACGGTCTGGAAAACACTCACGAAATTTTCTCTTTCATAAATAAGTCAAAATTTAAGGGTAACTTTTGTAAAAAGAAAACATTTTAGTCCGGGGTAGTTTGGGCTGACCATTTTGTCTTTATCTTTACATGAAATTGTCAACTTTGAGGGAATAACACGTAATATAGGGGAGCCCCTAGTCTGGCTATAGCTCAGGATGCCAGTGGGAAGAGAGTTACATAGCCCTAACCTTGGCTTCCAGAAATATCTGGGGCCGGTGACAAAGGCCTATCACGTTAGGAGTCACATAGTTTATTTCTTTTGTTTCAGGAATCAGCTTAGGAAGAGATTGTAGAACCGTTTTTAAAAATAAGATTTATCAGTGCTGAGGCTTTCTCAGTTTTTCTCACTATGTACTACTTAGTTCTTGCAAACCCCAAAGTCTTTATAAGACTAGGAATTCAGAATAGACTTTTATCTTAAGAAAACATGATATATCAATATCACATAACATATAACATGCTTTGGAAGTTTTGCAGACCACAGAAAACCTGTTTTTTTTTTTTTTGGTACCTAATATACCCTAAAGCGACACAGTCTGCCAGACCACAATGCATCTATAACTTAGAACAGCAGATGTTGCTACACATGCTTCCCTTTAAGACCAAGAAGCAACACAAGAGAAAATAAAGCCAAAGGTTCAAAATAGAGGAGAAATTTGAAACAATAGGGAGATAGGGGGATTGAGGAGCCAAAAGCAGTCGGTTCAGTTAACAAAGAGGACAATATCTACCTGAACTGTTTCTCTGTACTCTCTTTTATATGCTTTGTAAGTTATTCTCATTCTGCTAATGCAGGTTTGATAACTTTCTACTCAGATTTATTTTCTATGAAAGCTAGTCTTCAATTAAACTGAGGAGAGAAGTCCTTGATTTTTATTCTAACACAAAATCATCTTACACTTTGAATGAGAAGTGGCTAGAATAGCGGTGCTACAGTTTACTGTGTTGTCTTAGCGTCTGCTAACGTTTTCCTTTTGGCTTTAACTCTAGCTGATCCCACAGTGAAGGACTTAATCGGAGGCTTCACTGCTCTTCACTACGCAGCCATGCATGGTCGGGCCCGGATTGCACGTCTCATGTTAGAATCTGAGTACAGGAGCGACATTATCAATGCAAAGAGCAACGATGGCTGGACACCCCTCCACGTGGCAGCTCACTACGGTAGGGACTCCTTTGTCCGCCTCCTCCTGGAGTTCAAGGCTGAGGTCGACCCACTCAGTGATAAAGGTACAACCCCGCTCCAGCTCGCCATTATCCGCGAGAGGTCAAGCTGTGTGAAAATTCTCCTGGACCACAATGCCAACATTGACATTCAGAATGGTTTCCTGTTGCGCTATGCCGTGATCAAAAGCAATCACTCTTATTGCCGAATGTTCCTTCAGAGAGGAGCAGACACAAACTTGGGTCGCTTAGAAGATGGACAGACGCCTTTGCATCTGTCTGCCCTTAGGGATGATGTGCTCTGTGCACGGATGTTATATAATTATGGAGCAGACACGAACACAAGGAACTATGAAGGACAGACTCCACTGGCTGTTTCAATAAGTATTTCTGGAAGTAGTCGACCGTGTTTGGATTTCTTGCAAGAAGTCACAAGTATGTAATATAATTATTATTATTACTGCATTTTAAAACAATGTGCATCTCCTAAGGAGCTTAAGGTGTTTTGACAACTTAAAATGACTAAACATTAATGATTCCTTTTAGCCCTGCTGGGTAAGTAGTAGCTCATTCATTTGAAATAAAAAAGGAAACTCTGCCACAAGATTGCATAGCTTTTCAGTTGTATTATAACAAAGTATGAAGGGTAGACGGGCTGAGAGAGAAAATGGAGGACAGAGAGCAGGGTTTACATTTTTTTTGCAATATTAAAAAATGTGTTTAATATATTGTAAGTAAAGCATGCACAGCCTTGGGAATGATTACCATCTGAAAAGAGCCATAGAATTTTTTAACTAAATAAGGATCTGTCAGAACAAGGCAACTCCTGCCAGTCACAAACATCACCTTTCCAGGCTCTCGTGGACTTGAGGTCAAGGAACTAGGAGATTTGTAGATGCCCTGGCTATAGGGGTGTCCTCACATTGGTGACTGATAGCTGAGCTGTTGTTTTGTGTTTCATTGTGACTTGAACTTGACTGTGACGTGAACCCACATGGAATGGAGCAGCAGTGACACATACTGAGGTATCCTAGTATCACAAGTTAGGGATACTAGACACTGCTGTAAGAGAGGCTTATGGAAGCACGGGTGCAGTGACACCCCCTCCCACCCACCCCCATCTGGCTTCCCTCGGGTCTGTGTGGTTTTGGGCGGGGCTTGTTTAAAGAGCCTGAGAGTGCCTGAGCACCTAGTGTGCATCCTCTGACTGGGCTGTGAGCTGTGTGCACATGGCCGTCCCTCCTTGGTGCCTTGCCTGTCACCAGTTGCGTATAGACACGTCTTCAGGAGTTTAACATCTGATCTGAAGCGGAAGTGTACAACCAAAACGTTTGATTTTGTTGTCTGCTGCCTCCTCAGTGAATTCCTTTCTCTCATCTGCTTTTTCACTCTCAGTCATTATGGAAGAAGTGTGTACCAGATACTGGTGGAGTAAGGGGTCTACTTGATTGTTTTGTGAATAATCCACTGTGCCCCTTGGAACTAAAGTCGGGAGTAAAATTTTTATAAACCAGTGGACTGTAGCTTGAACTTTGTGTATTCACAAGGAGGAAAAGAGCAAATTACTACCCTTAAATATATTCAGCTTAAAGCATAAAAAGAAATGACACTTGGCGTCTAACTTGCGCTGTCCCCTAGAACTTTCTGTGATGATGGAAATGGTCTCTTCCTGTGACGTCCAGTATGGTAGCCACTAGTCCCAGGTGGCTGGTGAGCACTTATGTGGCTAATACCGCCAAGGAGCGGAATTTTAAATTTTATTTAATTGTAGTAATTTAAATTTAAATAGCCACAAGTACGTGGTGGCTCCCATGCACTGTTTAGCAGAGATCTTCCTACCCAGGAGAGGTACAGACTGTCTGGGAGGGTCAGTGGGCCCTTGTGGAGGTTTTGAGGCACACAGGGGTACCCAAAGACCGAAAAGGGGCAGAAGGAGTGTGTGTGTGTGTGTGTGTGTGTGTGTGTGTGTGTTCCCACCAGCTTACCCTGGACATTTTAGGAAAAGACAGCAGTGAAATTTCAAATGCTGATGCTCTCAGCATGTTTTCTCGCAGTCCAAGTATAGACTGCTCAGTAATTGTGGTTGTGAATAATACGGTTACTCTTGACCTGGAGCTGAGGATGCTGTTGGGCGGGATAGCTGGCGAAGTGTGTGCTATTACTGAATCCTGGGTGTCTGCTTTTGTTGTTGCTTTAACTTTACCCTGGAGCCTTGGTTTCACCGGTGTGGCTGCCTTCAGGAAAGACTGTCAGACACAGCCTCGGCCTTTTTTGCTCAATGGTCCATGGAACAGACTCCAGCTGGGCCACTCGAGCTTGGCACTTGGCTGTACCAGAGGTTAGTTGTGACCTTGGGCAGGTTACCTCACTGCTCTGTATCTCTGTGTCCTCATGCTTTAAAATCAGGGTAACTGTCTCTCTCCTATTGACTTGCTTTGAGAATTGAGTTAATATTTATAATGCAGCTGTGCCTGCCAACATTGTAAGTGCTACCTAAGTGTTTTTTAATATATAATAAAATAATTAAATGGGGCAGATGAACAGCACGGACTGGCTTGCTGCCAGCAGAGTAAACCTTAGGCTCTTCTCCCACGGGCCCCCTAGTTTCAATTCTGTCGACTGGCCTGGAGTCTGCAAAGGGAGGCCTCCAGCCAGGAGGATGGGGTCCCAGCCTTGGAACTGCAGCCCAGCCGGGGGGTGCCTCTGGGGAGCAGGAATGTCAGTTACACGGACATTCATGTGGACCTTTAAATTAGGGGCTGATAGGAAAATGGAACAGGACTGGCTGTGTGGGTTTGGGGTCCTTCTGCACCAAGAATGTCACTGGCAAATGTGTGTTGGCTGACTGTACCCAGGAAGGCTGGTGGCTGAGCACGCTGGGCGTTGCCCCTGTGAAGGGCGTCTCTGTCTTTCGGAGTCGGCAGCCGCCCTTTGTCTTCCGAGCTGCTTTCCCTTCATTGCTCCCGGCCTTCAGGGGTGCTCCCTGCCCCTTCAGGGGTACTCCCTGCTGGGAATTGATTCTGCCTCGACTCTGCTTTATTTATTAAGAGGTTCTTTTCCTAGTGACTGATTACATGCTGGAAGACCCAGCTGTACTTTGGAGGTCTCTACTGAGCTTTCTTGAAGTCTTGAGTGTTTGGGGAGCATCGAGTGAAACCTGAGGCTCGTTGTGACCTGACACTCTGAGCATCAGAACCACAGGCCCCAGGCTGTTGGTGGTTCTCATTGAGCACTGCATCCTCGGCTGCAGAACAGCAGGAGTTTCACTTGCGCTTTTCGTTCTGGGCTGATCTACTGTTTGCTGCCCCATTCTGAGTGGAAACAGGTTATTTAACTTGGAAGAGCCCAAGTAAATCTTAATTCTGGGATTTCAAAGCAACTATGGGCTTTTAGAGACTTTACCCTAACATCTCTGATCCGCGTTGTGTAAGTACTGTACACGGTGTGGCTTGGTTATAACGTAATGTCTGTACACAGAAGACGTTCTAGGTGGCTGGACGGATGCCTATGTTCTCTAGAAAGCTATCACGAAGGCGCCTTTGCACTCAGGGAATAAGCACCGCTGAGAAGATCGGGTGAGCATCATGAGCAGTTCCTGTTTTGCTGGTCGTGTTTATAAGAAACTATGTTTTGTTCTTTTAGTTCTTTTACTTGAAAAAAAAATACAAGAGTGGAGCAAATAAACTAGAGAGACAGCCAAGAAAACAGTGAAGGGGGGCAAGACAGGACAGGTGTGTGGGCAGGGGAGGACAGAGCAGATGCTGGGAGGTGCGGGGGTCGTTGATGCACGTTGCTCCAGGGTCAGGAGGCTCCCGACCGCTGGTGCCCAGACACAAGACTTAGGCGCTCATTCTCGGGCCGTGTGAAGTGCACGCAGTTAACTAATGAGAGTAATTTGTATAAAGTGTTGGCACAAACACCCTGATGGAGCGGAGAGGATCCCAGAAGCTCTGACCTACAGGAATGGACTAAAATTCTCTTCAGCTGAAGGTAAAGAGCCAAAGGCTGTAAGAATGATGGCCCAACTCAAGAAAGAAAAGTCACATTCATGCACAAGAAAATGTCAAGAGAGATGCTATATTCAAACTTCAAGAACGCCTATTTGAAAAGTATTACTGAGGATATGGTCAAATACCAGAACTCTCCTGGAGGAATCAGATTGTAGGCTCTTCCCTCCTCCCCTCATCATGTTTCTGTCCCGCAGCGTAAACTCCCTAGTCTGATGTATGGACAGGGGTGTTATTTGGTATATGAAATCTTTAAAAAAGAGATTTCCATGAGAAAGCTGAACTGTGCCAGTGACTAGCAAGAACATTTTAATGTTATGGCGGAGGAGAGAAAGTGGGATTTTAATCATCTGTGTGCCTGGGATTTTGTTCCAAGAGAAGTGGTAAACAATTTACATTTGTGGGGGGAAGCTTGCTCCTGAATACTCAAGCATGTTTATGCACTTGGGGAGGGAGGACTCTCTTTATTCAGCCACCACTGAGGCTGGAGGGGCAGGAAGCCGAAGCGGAGGACTGAACAAGTTGGTACCAGCAGTTCCTTGTGCAAAGGGGAGAGAAAATGAAGGGAAGTTTTAAAGAACATGGTCACGTCTCAGAGTAGAGGCAGCAGTCAAGGGCCTAGCTCTTGCTGGAGAAGGCCCCTCTCCAGGAGGGGGAGAAAAAGGTGCTTGTTGTGCTGCTTGCCTGGAAATGCCTTGGTTGTAGGAATCTATCCTTTACGTAGGGTAGGACAAGGTGCCACAAGCAAAGTAGAACCAAAGATTTGTACAGGCTGCAAGGTCCAGGAGCCCCAGGAGGGCTCAGCTGTCATCTGTCACTTCCCTGGCCACGTCTCTACTTAGCTGAGTGTGGAAATGACCCCTGTGGAGCTTCTTTTTCACTAAGGCATAGAGACAAGATTTTACTCTTCCCATCTAATATTTTCATTGGTTTTAACATAGCAATCAAGTTATTTTAAATTGCTCATCTGATAATTCCAACATCTGTGTCATAGCTGCTAGTCTGATGCTTGCTTTTTCTTTCCTGACTCTGTTTTTTCTTGCCTTTTAGCATGCCTTGTGATTTTTATGGAAGCCAGACATGATGTGTTGGGTAATAGGAACTGAGGTAAATAGGCCTTTAATGGCAGGTTCTCATGTTAATCTGGCGGGGCTGTGTCTCAACGTTTGCTGTATGTATAACTGTAGGTGCCAGAGACTTCACAATCCAGGTTCCTTGGTTTTTATCTCCTTTCTCAATTCTGGGCTCCCCTAAGAACTCCTCAGAGAGAGTCTGCATCTTGCCGCTCCCTCGCCCTCCCGGTGAGGTAGAAACCTGTGGCAGCTGGAATCAGAAATGTTGATTCCCCAGGTGGGATATCACTCTGGTAATCATTTTCCCTTGGAGAACAGGCCTTTGTCATGGAGAAGTGCCTGGTTGTAACTTACA